TGGGGATCGTATGCTTGCAGTCCCCCAGTTGGTTGCCCCGCCTACTGTCACACTGAAGTTTACAGCTCCAGCGCGTTGACGACGAGTGCTGCAGGAAAACGGAGTAGTTGCTGTCAACCAAACTTGCGGCAATCTACAACTGACGTGAAAGGGCTTCTGTGGTATTTAACCGCACTCATTTTCATGCACCTTCTAATAATCGCCTTTTTTACGTTTTGATCACAGCGCAGACTGAAGTTGTCATCTTTGTCTGCAACACGCCCAACACCACAACGCGTAGGCTGATGCGGTGCAACATACCACTCACGTAGTTTCGTAACCAAATAACTGTCAGGATTTAGACAGTATTTCATTCGGCACAAGCCAACCCATTGAGGATTCAGACGAAGTGACGAGCGATTATTCGCCAACGTATCTAACCGTCGCCCTATATAGGAGTATACATTTCACATGACCGCGTCTGGGGTACATGCAACTGGAGGTTAACTAATGCTGCACCTAAGGTTTGCTTAATAGCTCCTTGTCTCCATTCGCTTCTGGATCACGCCGATTCTGCTTCGGTCTATGTGCCCAATTGACCGTTTATGAACGGTCATTTTAGCACTCTCATCTACCCATTATTTGATGCATCAATCAGTCTACAACATATCTCACTATTCTGTTTAGTGGACACTCCATCAACCGCCGATTTTTCATTCTTGGCTGTCTTGGTTGCGCGGCAGCGAAGCGCCGTTACGGCGTATAAGCTGATACATTTTTTTTCATTTTCCTTTTGACAAGCCCCCTTACTCTTGCAAATTGGTGACCGAACTGTTAGTAACACATTAACCTACTGCCTATGGCTTCGCCCTCCTTTAATGTAACCATTACCTTCATCAAGTGATGTTTATGGCTGACCAGTCTCGAAATCGTATGTCTTGCGTTACCGAAAAACCGTGCCCACAAAGGAGCGGAACAAATTTACCTCTATAGCATGCTTACGCGTACGGAACTCGTTGGTTTGAGTTTATACAACTATGCAATTGGGATGTTTTGGAGAAAATCCTCCTTCGGGATTTTCAATGTTATTTTTCATCAGTTCATGTACGTTCTCCTTTGGTTGGTTCCGGTACGATTTCGGGGGAACCATGGTGAAATGGGGTGAAACAATTGGAGCCGTCAGTCGGTCAAGTAGTACAGTGTCGTGGATAAAAATTAGCATATAAAGCTAAAGCAGTATGGAGTAATTTATTTTCGAGTGGCAAATACCCCTGGGACTGGGATACAGAAAAAGAAGAGAAAGCTAGTATTTATACGACCGAGTGTCTCCTTGTGGGATTTCAAGGTTTCAGCTGTGTTGATCACATAAAGGGAGGGAATATGCACAAAGGTAAGGTGTGTAATAGTTTTTAAAACTGGATGTCAGATTAGCAAGATCAAACAAAATGTGTTATGAGTTACGGAATGGCTGAAAGGCTAGGTGACCTTGCAGCTGCAGATTCAGCATTCAAATACCTTGTGTAGGAACAGAGTAGTGTTCATATGGGAGAGGTAAAGCCTTTCGTTTGACTACTTTTTCCCGAACCTACTAAAGGGCGTGAATTGTCAATTTGGTATGGCTGAGCCCATCCTGCCCCATTCTAAGCTTAGAGCCTGATCATCCCGTTAATCATTTTCTTTCTAATGCCTTAGTTGTTTTCATCAACACCTGTGCCAAGAAAAGGTTACTTCAAAATAACAGGAAGAAAAAGCATTGTAACAGGATACACTGAATTCAAACCTTTCGGGTATTCTCCTCAGTTGTTTACTACTTGTGACGGGAAAATCCTGCATAAAATTTCTCCATGGGTATAATCTACGAAAGCTCTTATTTGTTGTCCACCCGACACGCGTGACACTTGCCATCACCACTAAGACGCCCCAACGCTGCGCGTTAATTCTTATCTGGAATTGAAGATTTTACGTCCACCACTCTGGTCACTGGCTTGTTCCAACCTACCTTGAAATACCTTTTTTCTTATTTTTTCCTGGAGCTGATTTGTTCCGAATTGGCCGGCTACAACGCCGGCTGCTCGCAACCATCGCTGGGCTTCGTTATCGATTGGAGCATCTAAGTTACATTCAATTCACTTCACGACGTTAATCTCCTATTCACTGAAATCCGATCATTCATCTACATCATTAACTCCGTCCCTTTCTGCTTTTTCCATTCCCCCCACCTTCACACTGATTCTGCTTGCTCTGTTCCTCTTGTCCCGAGTAGCATCGACTGCTTCATCGGATTCGGGATGGGCGCCGGCTCCAATGTTCTCGCTCGTTACGCGGTACGTTTCCACTGGCGTCCCTCTTCATACCCCTTTGACTACGATCCGCTCTTACTACTGTGTCATTCACTCGCACTAGTTGTGTTGAATTTGATGTTTTTTTGACGCTCCACATCCTTGAAAGCATTCATTTTGGGGAGATGTAACTTTACTATTCGCAACCGATACCATACACGCTCCAAGACAGTATTGATTCACATTTGAGGTCGCCCATTGAGGAGGTGTCCATTTACATACTTTCCGCATCCTATCTCTGCAATAGCTTCCGCTTTTGGTATTTTTCACACTTCTTCCGTCTTTGGTTTCCTAACATGCTGATGTGCATCTTCTAGCCTGTTCAGATAGCACTGGCACTTTGCGTCCCCCATCCGAATTTCGCTACGTTGAACTGCTGCTGACCAATGTCAACCCACACTACGAATATGTTGAACAATGATTTATCACGGGATAAAAGCAAGTGCTTGACACGTCCCGTAGGATGGTTGAGGTGAATATGATGAAATCAAAATATATCTGGGTGGTCTACCGAACGTCTGCCGAGATGAATACTTTGATAATTAACATGTGTAAAATTTGAAAAAATTATCGAGCGTAAACGTTCAGAAAGACACCGGGGGCGGTCATCGTTGATGTAAGAAGTGAGAAAAGTAAAATATGGTCGCTCACTTAGGTCCATTTGATACATAAATCCTATTGAAATGCATCCTTGGCGTAATCCACAGTAGGGGAGTTTAGGTAACAAAATGCTGGGGGCTAAGAGCAACATCTAATCGTTTTTTTTTTAATAAGTCCAAGGTAGGGAAGGATACAACTGAGTCTGGGAGTGCGTTCCAGGGTTGGCAAACCCGAAGGGAAAAGTAATTCCGTCGACACTAGACGGCTATATTGTTCCTTCAACTTTAAGCAGTTACCCCTGAACTGCGTGTTGTGGCTAAGTTTCAGCAAATGGCGGCATACATGGTTGGGGTCACTCAATATCTGATACGCTATTATGAGATCGCCGCGCAGCCTTCGATAGAGTCCGCTGAGAATTCCCAGCATCTTCAGCCTTCGGTGGTAAGAGTGATAGTGTGGGACCTTTCCATTCTTTGTTGCTCTTCGTTGTGGTGCGTCTATCGCTTCTCGGTCGCGCTTCAACCAAGATTGCCAAGCTTGGATAGCGTATTCAACCTGCGGGCGCACGTGGGAATTGTGCATCATTGGGAAGATTGATGGGTCAAATCTCCCGAATGCCCTTCGCATCATGCCGACGTGCTGTTTGCCTTTTCGCATCTACCTCAGCATGTTTTGAACAATTGAGGTCGCTCTGTACGATCACACCAAGGTCACGTTCCCGGGAGCTATTCTGCACTCCTTTTGTCCCAAGTAAATAGGTGTAGTTATGTCTATGGCGTAATTGTGCAACGCGACATTTGTCTACGTTGAATGGTAGGGCGTTTTGAACTGACCAGTTCGATACTGTGTTAAAATCGCACTGGAGCCGTTCATGGTCGTCCGGTCCTCTGATCCTTCGCCATATCTTGATCTCATCAGTGAAAAATAGGAAATCGGAAGCAATTAATCTCGCCAAATCGTTAATGAACACCAAGAATGGACGAGGTCCAAGAACCGAGCCTTCTGGTACTCCACACGCCACATCGATTGCATCAGGCAATGATTCGGACTCTCAACACTAGCCGTCGTTCCTGTAGAAAATTGCTAATCCAACTCAGGATTGGGTCGCCAATGCCGTAGTTCCGAAGGCCTTCTACAATAGCATGGCTAGACTAAGAACCCGAGGTGTGAGCGAGAGTATTATCCTGTCAAACGTAACTAGTCTTATGTGCATCTGTCCCGACAAACGAGACATCCACTCATTTTCGCAGTCCCTCTTGCAGGTTGCACGGCGCGGGTTACCTCCTGTCTTGGGGTTGTGTGGTGTACATTTCTTCTACGTCCGTTCCTCGCGCGCATGCAACTGCGGCTTTAAAATGTTTCTCTCCTTTGGGTGAGTCATTACGGACTGCTGTTGGCTGGTTGCCGTTTCGTATCCTGGGATTTATACGCTACTGATAATCGGTGCAGTAGTGTCTGTCTTTAATTCGCCACACTCCTCTCCTCAAAACCACTCGGCCCAGCTGCTTTCAGTCGGTCTTTCTGACCGTCGGGGATGATCATTGTGCGAAAGAGGTTACTCCTCTAACTCGTGCCACTTCTTCAACTCACTGGCATGCACTCGCCGTCAATCTCCTTGCCGAGCGATTGTATACACTGGCCACACCGGTTAACCACCTCGTACGGCCCATCATCATTATATCCCTATATACGCTAGCTTCAAGTGGAAGACACCTCAGCTATGGTGCCGCAATACAAAAATGTGTAACAGAGGTACTCCGGCTGAGTCACCATTAACGGACGGACATCGTTCCTGAAATCTAACAGGAAATTGTTTGAGAAAAGACCATCGCAGTTCGGCTCATACTTGGTGGGAACACCATGTGAGCAATGCGCGTGTTCGACGCCTTGTTTATGGCGCACGAAGAAGAAGCGAACCGCTCAGCACCGTTATTTCACGCACCAGGCTCTGATGGCTCGACCACGTGTTGCGCATCCCAGCCCACCGACTTCCGCCTCCGGGGTGCGGATGGAAGAAGAGGAGAGGTGGCCAAGCGATGACTTGGTCAAGAGGAATGTAGGCCCTTACTTCGGAGTTGGCCTCGGTTGGAGCCTCTCGGCTCCCTGTTTGGGGACCGAAAGACAATGAACACATTTGTTTGGATACACTAGTTGACATGGCTAGGAGCCGACTTCAATGGCGTTTGCGTTGTTAGTTCCTTTGTTTATCTTCCTCCGCCTTGCCTCCCCCTCTGACCACGATCTCATTTTCTAGACATAATATAACGCTTTTTTGCGGCACAATTGCCGGCTTGTAGCTCTCTGGAACGATACCCATCCGTTACTGGTGACTCATCCTTCCTTCCTTTTGTATTGCGGCACCATAGCTGAGGTCTTTTACACCCACAACTAGCGTGGATAATGATGACAATGGAGAGCCAACGGCCGGCTATTGTTCAGCAAAAAGTCATATAATGCTGTTAATTGAGATCGTTATTGGAAAGGGAGGCTAAGCGGAGCGGGATGAACAAAGGAACTCACAACACAAACGCCATTGAGGTTTGCTCTTAGTCATGTCAACAAGTGTACGGCTCCTACCATTTCGGTAGGAGTTTTCTCTCCCTTGGGCCACAGGTGGGAGCGCGTTGATGGTTTCAGTATTTCACCTTCGAACCGAGCTGGAACTCGACCCTCGTTTCACCATTGTTGGTCTCGGACTTCTCCATCCTCCGCACTGAGTTGCTTTCAGGTTACGGCTGGCTGCCTTCCTGTGCTTCTTTGGGAGATACTCGGCAGGTTGGCCACATTCTACAATCTAGATCCACAGGTGGTCGAGCTGTTCGACCATACATCAATTGGAATGGGGATTTCTTTGTCGAGGCCTGTTTGGATCCTCAGTGGGTCAGCAACAACAGTGACTAAGCTTCTTCCCAGTCCCACCATTCGCCGCTAGCCACTCCACAATCGTTTTGTTGTTGCGCTCCGTCAAACCATTGGTCAGCAGATGGTACGGAATTGTCCGCACTTTCCTGATACCAAATTTCTCCAAGCAGTTCCATAATTCCCCACTCTCGAAGTACGGACCCTGATCTGTTAAAATGCCTTTTTTGATTCCGTGATCCGCTACCAAATGTTTCATGACGGCATGGGTACTTGTGGTCGCCCGTTGATCTGGGATTGCTGTTGCTTCAATCCAACGAGTAAACTGCGCCACCATCAGCAAGATGTATTGGTTACCCTGCTTGGTCACTAAAAACGATCTCATCACGTCGATCGACCGTAGTTCCCCGATTTCCGATACCGCAATCCACATCACTGTTTGTTTTGCTCCTCGACAGTCGGTTTTCAAGAGCTGACATTACTTGCACGAAAGAACCTATGTTTCGACGTCCTTTTTCATGCTAGACCATTAGGGGCATTGTCTCAACGTATCGTATGTCCTGGCGCAGCCGGTGTGCGCCATCTCGTGACAAGAAATCATCAGCTTCTGCCTTAGTTTCGTCGGAATAACAAACACCAAAGTGATGCTGCCTCCTGTATTCCACATCAGAATTCCCGCTTCAGTTACTTGTAACGTTTCAGGATTTTCCGCAGACGGTCCGAGCTGCTTGTCTTGACTTTTGTTTAGGACTGGTTGACCGATTATTCATGCGGTGAACACTTTGCGCAAGAGTTTCTCACTGCATTGCTCGGCTGCCAACTTTCCTATATTCTGCTCCAACAGTATACCATTAATACCGAAATCCACACTCGGTAGGTCATCCGTTCATCATGCGTGACAAAAAGTCCGCAGTTTGGTTCTCCTTTTCCGCCTGTGTTTTATCCTGAAATCGTATTCCTGTAAGCGCAAAACGTCGTTACGGCGTACAGCTGGCACATTATTATTATTATTATTATTATTATTATTATTAGGCGCAAAGCCAATCGCGCTAGTGTCTGTCTTTAGTCCACCACACTGACAGGCGAAGGGAGATCAGTTGTTGTATCTGCCAAATTCTCTGTTTGACTGCTTGATCTGACCAGCTATTTCCCCATCTGCATCTGTCTGCTGTGCGGTGTCGGACGCTCGCTCTACCTGCATTTTTCCATGCTGCAGTACGTTACAATCATTGTAAAACCTCCGAATTTGAACAGCACTGTATCCTGACCACCTCTCTAAGTTAACCGCATTATTTTTCATTGATCGAACATTCACCATGTAAACGTTATGGATCCAGACCTTTGTACGTTGACCACTTCGGTCTAGTCCTTTGAATGGTCAACTTAGAGAGATTTTAAAGTACTTCTTAACCAGTTCTTCATTTCTACCACCTCCTCCTCTTTAAAGCTGCATTTTCCAGATAACGTGTTGGGTCTTTTTCTGCTCAACCCAACGGCCACCACTCACCCGTATTATCAGAAGTTTCGTTGCCGTTGGTGGGATCTACCTCAACTGCAGCAAGGTGTTCTGACTGATAACATGTTGGAACAACTGAACACACATTGGTTCGGTTATGTGAGTGCCCTTTTTACTGCTTTCGCCACACTTGAATTGGTTGTTACGACTTATATCCGCTTCTCTGAGATCTTATCCTTGGATCTACAATTATACCTGATCCGATTGTCGTTTGTGATGTAACCTTCTTGTACGAAAGATGTCCAATTTCGCTTTGATGGAAATATCTATCGTCAAATTTTGGGGGTAGCGATGAATAACTGTTTTGGACCGATTTTAGCTGACATCTTTGTGGGTCATCAGGAGAAATTATCCCATGCCATTAAAGCGACATACTTTTATGCAAAGCACCTTGACGACACTTTTGTAGTAGTTGACACGGTCCAGCAAGCGGAAAGCCTCGTGGAGAAGTTAAACAGCTGCCATCCCGAAATCAAGTTCACTATCGAAAGTGAGTCAGGGGATTTGTTTCACTTCGTTAACCTTGCGTTGAAGAGAAGAGCAGATAGTTACCACATAAGCTTATTTAACGTTTAACCGATCTGGAGTGGACAATACCTATAGTTTAACAGTTACTGTCCTTTAAACTACAAAAGACCTGCAGTTCGCACTTGTTTTATACGAGCTCGCCGAATATGCTTGGAAAAGTCATTTCAGACAGAATTTCCATGTATCGCGTCTACTCTAGTTAATAGTCGTTATCCCAACAAATTTCTCGCACTATATGGGGAAGGGATTACTAGAAGGGAAAAATGATAGGATGTCCCCCAAAAAATGGTCTACCATACTATACCATGCAAAGGAGAACAGAACGATAGATTTTGCTACCGATTACACCATACCATTAATTGGTACTACTTTGCAGCTGAGCTCATGCTGTTAGACCAGATCAAGAAGCTGTTCCATGAATCCAGCTTGGATAGGCCTACCTCTCAGGTTACCGTCTCGTATGTTTACCAATTTACCTGTACTTACAGTAACACGTACATTGGCTGTACCGAGAGAACCCTATCAACAATGCTCATCACATTGGCTGTAAAGATTTTCCGGCGTGCATCATACTGATCTTTGAATTTCGCTTTGGCCGCATAACTAGAGCCGGCTCATCGTTCCACCAGATAATGTCACTTTGGCCTTTACAGTGCCGCTGTTTGTCTCCGCTCAGTGACACAACACACAGCATCGATAAGCTTCAGCGTCAATTGCTGATTCGCTGCCTGCTGATCCATATCTCCTCTTCTACGCGCTGTACGACACGCACACATTGCCGCAGTTGTTGCGTGTATTAGTTACACGATCACTGTACACGGTGACAGGATTGCGTCCCGTGCTCAACGTCGCGTCCGTATATCTGACTAGCTCTACTATTCTGGTGTTCGAATCTTCGAGGTAGTTACTTGTGAATGGAAGGCCGACCGCTGTCATCTGCATGGCAGGTGCCTGCATGACAGTGGAGGATGCGTCGGGCTATATCGCATTTAGCTAACAATTCATGATAGTCAGATACCGTCCTCCATGGCGCAGTTGCATAAGCTGCGGGGTAGTTGGCAAGAGCCACTAGCAGTCATGGGTTCGATCCTCCACAGAGGACCGAAGGATGCGCACCACTGATGAGCCCCAATAGGGCGAAACGGCCGTCTGGTGCTTTTCCGGATAGCTGGTTGACATATCTGAATTGTCGGCTGCTTGCGACGAACAAAAATACTCACCAAAATCCTTCCATTCATAAGTAATACCAATTCGCCCGATTCATAGCTGCTGTAACCGGGAAGTCCTGACGCCGGAATGCCGACCGCTGTCATCTGCATGGCAGGTGACTGCATGGCAGTGGAGGATGCGTCGGGCTATATCGCATTTAACTAACAACTCATGATAGTCAGATACCGTCCTCCATGGCACAGTTGCATAAGCTGCAGGGCTAGTTGGCAAGAGCCACTAGCAGTCATGGGTTCGATCCTCCGCAGAGGACCGAAGGATGCGCACCACTGATGAGCCCCAATAGGGCGAAACGGCCGTCTGGTGCTTTTCCGGATAGCTGGTCGACATATCTGAATTGTCGGCTGATTGCGACGAACAAAAATACTTCGAGGTAGTTGTTGCACGTATCGGATGTGCTCTTTTGGTTTTCTAAAAATCTGAGACACCGGATGCAAGATGAAGGACGTGGGTGTGTTCATTGTCGTTGTGTAATTTCGAGATGTGGATAGTGCATATTAATGATGATTGAGGGGTTATTCCTTTTTGACCCTCATACCTTGAAGTATTCCTAATGTCCTTCATGACTATTGTGTGGGTGCTTGGCGACAAACACTGCTTTAGATTGTCTGTTTGGTTTGAACAACCTCGTGAGTCAGACTTATTTAGTAGCACACTTCGAACAAGGCCCCCTTCCGGGACGGTAATGCGGGGAGTATCACCCCATCACACAAGACCTCGCCGACTGTAATGTTCTCTGTTCCTCCATTTCTCTTCATTTTCACGAATCCTCTAATATTAACCGACAAAAGACAACTACCAACTTTATCCGCCATGCTGGGTTTTCAACATCCACATAGTATGCCAGTTCTCATCTCCTCACCTTTTGACTTCTTTGGCCTGTAGACGATTCACCGTTTCCATTTTATGACTACTTCCGCGTACGCGGTTTCTGACAGGTGCTGCGATGCTCGTCCGATCTGGGTGGAACTTAGTGTTTTTCTCACATGGGCCTGGTGCACATTCAATATAGCACAACTTGGCGTGTGGTTTTCTGTTTTTTGTACTATAATCCGCAAGCGAGGGGGTCATCGGTAGATTGCGCGACCTGCGATGGCTGCCGCATTTAATCGTACAGTCAATGTAGCAGTGGTCGGGCCTAATAACTAATCTAATCCAATGGCACTGAAACAGCGCATTTATTCTGCACTCCATTCATCTACATGGTCTACTTTATCCTACACTTTTGCGAGAAATTCCTTCCGTGTTAAGGGGGGATGCTACTAAACATATCTTTTTGTGGCAATGCTTAGTTATCGATTTTCTTTTCGCTATACGTCTTTCGTAGTGGATGTGAATTTCCCTTGATACCGTTTTCACGGACACACCTGGTTAGTTCATACTTCTGCCCCACTTCCCATTCGCCTGTCTCCTATGTTGTTGGTTGACCTCAATGTGTTTACTTCAACTGCTACAGTACCCTAGTTAGGTGTAGCAACTTTCTCATACACAGTTTCATACTGCTTCATCTTCCCTTTTTCTCATTACGGTTATGGAGTGCGAACAGTCCGCGGCGACTCAACAATTTCCAGTGATGCCCTTATAGCCTTACGTCATGGAGGGACTTTTTCCCACTATCCAAGACATTCAGTAATCGTGAAAACGTTCTTGACCACGTGTCTTAATTAAGATGGAAATTTGGCTTATACTACGTATTTCCCATGTAAATGTAGGATTCTGACTGTGTGTACGCATTGCTACACCAGTCCATAAAATGCTCCCATAAAATGGGAGCACGTGGACCGGGGCCTACTTCATTATTGCCAACTCTACCTCCGAATCTTTTTCGATCGTTTATTGTCAGTTCATCGCTTTCTATTAAGGGTCTGGATGAAAACGCGGATGTCGTTCGTTTCTATCATCAACTGGCAAGTAGTCTTAACCCGGTCAATTTGGCAGGTTACATCCAATCTTTCATGGAACGTACTCCTCTGAATTTGGTTCGTCCCATTGGTCCTTGCGTACCAAGCGAAAACCAAGCACAGCGGAACCAACCGGAAACCACCGTTATCACCACCGACGTTTGTTTGGTAACGGGCGACCGGGCCACCGATTTGTGTCGAGCTCTTGCAGACATGAACGGGAAAATGGATCCAAAACGGACTCAGTACCTCATGGTTAGTGATTTATTCTTTAACCCCATTCCAGGCGTAAAAATAGCATAAAATTCGCCAATTTGCTCTGTGTACAGTGCTTTTCTAATGCGTTTGGATTCATCTCGACCTTAGCACCTCGTTCACAAATCTTGGCTCGTTAACATTTGACTACGCGACGAAGTCGACGCGACTGTCTGCATGACTCTGCGATCCTTTAACACTTGATGATGCTCGTGGGAACTCTGAGAGCTATTTTTGCCACATTGCTCACCGGTTAGAGGTCAACGAAACTAACATTCCGATTCCATAGACTGGATGCTGGAGCTGGGATCTCAACCATTTATATTGCTGGCCCGTAGCCTAATGGTAACCAGCTTGTCTTGTAACCTGACGGTGCAGGTTCAAGCCTGGGTAGGGACATGACGACCCTCGCAGTATCCTTAGCCCACAAGCGACCGGTAGTGGTTGCGCAGCAGCTAGACCTCAGTACTGCATACCGACGTAATGATGATACCCCCCTCCTGACCAATTTCCCCCTTCTTTCAGGCAGCATTTTTAGTCAAAGGCTTTTGTTGAAAATTCTACCGCTCCATTGCCTAAGTTTTGGCGACCGAGCAGTATTCCAACCCACGTACAACTCTGACTGCCTTATTGAACCATGGTGTCGTCCCGCTTTAGCCGTTTTTGGGTTTAAACTAGGTGCGAATGAACGAACACTCTGTCCTGAAATAATCAGCTGTTGGTGCACCTGAATGGACAAAGGTTACACCACCCGCTCAGTCGAAAGCAAGGGTAGGGGTTTCAGCAGATTATACTTCGAAATGACTTGGAATACTGGTAGCTCGGGTGGCTTGCTCAGTTGTTGTAGTGTTCGCCGAGCTGGGCAATTTGACTGTGTTAAGACGCAGCCACTAAGAATGCCAACGTCTGCGTTCGCGCCGACTTTTCCATCCACCACAACTCTCACTATGGCGCCTATGTGAGCATGTGTCGTGAGATCCCTGCGCCAGCATGCTTCAGCTATGGCCCTCGCATAAACCCTACACGCTGGAGTCCAAGTATGCAATCGCATGGTATTCAGTCCGATCACGTACTCACTGGTTCATTATACAGGCTGATTGGACTTCATCTTCTTCAACTGTCCACTTGTGCACCCATACTCTATGGGTTCAGATCAAAGCAATCTCGCCAAGCGGTGAGCCTCTGTTGGTGAGTTCACTTTTGGGAGGAATTACTGTACACCATCTGACAATAGTGCGGCTTGTACTTGTGTGCTATCACTCTCAGTGGCTTTCGCAGCTTATTGTGGGTATGGTATTTACAGTTCTAAGCGACGCATGCCCACCGGATTCGTTCGTTTCACCTGCGTTTCTTTCACAGCGCAAAGATAGGCCATTACGTATATACCTTCACCCAAATTGAAGCTATGTGCTGGTTACTTATGCTGGCTCGGAATCCCTTTGAAGCTTCCTACCTCACCCAACCTGTTGGTATTTCTTTCAGTGCAGTCATCTTTTTACCACTTTCAAACCAGTGATTGGTATGGCAATTAGGAATTCAATTTCTGGCCTGGCCACCACCCCGCGTACATCTGATGTTCCTTCCCTCATACTGTACTCCTGTGTTGTTCTTCTTAAAATTGTGTGAACTGTAATCGCACGGTATTTCTCCCTGTAATGTAATGTGTCAGCTTATACGCCGTAACGGCGCTTCGCTGCCGCGCGACCACCACCAGTCGCGCGCGGGCTGAGTATACCGCGAGGACGCCCACCCCTACGCGGATTCGAACCGGTGACCTTATGGTTGGAAAGCAAACGCGCCGACCACTCGGCCACCGGCCAGGTATTTCTCCCTACCTTGTACTCACGGATTCTCACTGAAAATGGGATACATGGGTACAGATGTGGGTGTTGTATCTTAAGCCACCCATAGTCTCTCTTTATGTGCTGGCGTCTTGTAGCTGCCTGTACTCTGCATTTTTCAAACTGAACATGGATACCAGCCACCGTACTGGAGCACAATGAGGCACGTTCTCCTCCACGACATTGGGATTCGATTCAACCGATCTGTGAATCTCAGACCCCTTCATCTTTTGACCGTCGCTATACACAGAAGATTGTTCAATCCGGTTGGCGTCAGCGTGTCACTCAACGGTGATTTGCGCGGACTGGTTATATGTGTTTTTTTCAGATCAACACTTCATTTGACACTTTTTATGCTTGCCACTTGCTTTCCGACTGGAGTTGCGTTTTCTCTTCCCACCTTAGCGTGATGTAAGATTCAGGTTAGGTCATTTTTGACCTGATAGCGGCTAATAGAATCTCTGATCACTAGATTGAGCACGTTGGTTTGTTTAAAATGACTTGTCGCACTGGCAGCTCGGGTTGATCGTTCCTGGGTTCACCTATTCACCGAGCTTCGTAATTGATATGCAAACGTTTCATCGCCAAACGGGTTGACTTCCTCATTGCGCTGCTGGGTCAAATGTAGTCCGCTGACTTACTCGTCGATTTGTGATCGACCAGAAAGTGACTTTTGAATTGACCTCCTCGATCTGTGCCGTGCTCTTCACCCGTCTGCCCAAATTCTCTGGTAGACACGGGCGATCCATGGGATGGTTTTCCCCCGGCTACTGCGGTTTTTGTTGATGGCTCGTTTAGCTGCTTACGACCGATTTTAAGCTGCTTTAGTTCTGTCCATCATAACGTTTGATAAACTGAATCAGTCTCGATGTGCGCCTTTATCGAGAGCTTCGTCGAGTACCATTCTTCGAGAAACGCACTTCCTTTTCGTGTTTTTCCTTTTGCTAGGACCTCTGTGTTCTTCTAATCCAAACGAGGTCCTTCTTCATCCGTATGTACTGAAACCAGAGAGAGAGAGAGCGTAGTGGTTCTTACAACCCCTGTTATGCTCTTGTATTCTTGTTGACAATTGCCTTCCTGTCTGATCCACATAGTTCTTATCGCAATCTTGATACCGTAGCTTGTAAACAACATTTCCTCTTTCGTGGACTCCAGGTCTAACTTGGGTTTCGACAGGGTTCTCCTCAATGCGGCAGTAGTTTTGTGAGCCACTGTAAGACCGTGGTTTTTAAATAATCTTGTCGTCATCTCGAAGCTGTTCTTTACATTAGGTAGAACGATTCTCTTTGTTGTCGTTTGAGCAGGCTGAGAGGTCGTAGCTTTGTTGTTTAAACATCGCCGGACGGAGCCATGTGGGTATCCATTTAGGTGCAGTGATCTGAACAGGTATATCTCTTCTTTCCGTTTTGCCTCAAGAGTGCTACAGTGTGTTTCAATTCTACGAAAGAGAGTTCACACGCAGCTTATTTTGTGACATTTCGTTTGATTGCTGTAGTAGTTTAGATTTGCATCGGTGTGTGTTCCTTTTTTGTAAACCAATGCATGCAGTTCGCTGTCCGTTGTCCTGCTGATCAAAGCATCTAAGAACGGGAGCCGGTTTTCCATCTCCGATTCCATCGTAAAATGTCTGTCTTCAGTGGCGTGATTGAGCAACTGGTATGCGACATCTACTTGATTATGTTTCAATATCATAAATGCATCATCGACATATTGGATCCACAACTTTGAGTAGATTATGGGCAGCACATTCTCTTCGAATTTCTGCATTATTATTTCTACAACGAGCCCTGACACAGGGGAACCCATCGGTGCTCCTTTCACCAGCTCACAGATCTGTCCATCAAAATCGAAGTAGGTCTCGAGACAGAGGTCAAGTAGTTTGCATAGATTTTCAGTCGTCAGCTTTCCAACAGTTTTCTCACTTTGGTCCAACCGGTCGATGATTGCTTGCTTTTCGGTCTGTAAGTTGACAAACGTAGAGAGTGCGGTCACGTCGGACGATACAATTATTTCGTCATGATCTACTCCCATACCTTTGAGCTTCTCCAGAAATCGCTGGGCACTATGTATAGAGTGCTGTGATCCAATTGTTAGATGCATGAGAAGTCTGCACAACTCTTTCGCCAGGTGCTTGGGAGCGATACGATTGGTCTTAGTGATACACCGTCTTTATGTTTGGTAGCGTGTAGAAATGTGCTATGTTCGGATCGCGGCTCATCATTCTGTCGCGGTCATCTTTTGTGATCTGGTCCCGTTCCTGGAACAGTTTCAACATTCTGTTTATTCGGTTTGTCGGTTGTGTTGGATTGTTTTCGATGCGGAGGTAGGTTGTTGTGTCACTCAGCAGCTGTTTCGCTTCTTCAACATAATCCACTTTATCCAATATAACCGTCATACACCCCATGTCCGCGGGTAAAATGACAATGGAGCCATCGGCTTTCAGGGCTTTTATTGCATCCCTTTCCTGTTGAGATAGAGAATTGTGCTGTTTGTTACGTGCTACAACTGGAATAATTGTATATCTTACTTGTTTCTGCGTATCATCGTCAAACCTTCTGAACTGGATTGTGCTTTCGAATCCCGACAGGAACTCTGTAATCATATCACCCTTGAAAGTGTAGTTGAGCCCTTTGGTGATGACTTGTTTTTCTGTTACGGAACGTGGCCTATTAGATGGATTTCGGATCTCGTCCTCGTAGTTTGCTTCGATACTGTTGTGAGCCAATTTCAAAAACTTGTTCCTTTATGCCTCTTCTCTCTCTTCTCCACTCTACGTTCCATTGCTAAGCTGAGCTGCTCTGTTTACTGTTATCCCATCACTTTCAGACAACTAGTTCCATGCTTGTTGTTGTGTCTCTCATATTTCCTGATACGGTTGTGGGCGTCCGTGATCCTGATCTGCACCATATGTTTCCCAATTTGTCGTGCAATTATCCATGCCAACTAGGAAGCTCGGCGAACAGGTGAACCCAGCACCGTTAGTTTGTCTCATCCATGACATAATCCATGTGTTCATGTTAACCACCGGTCTATCCATCCTACTTTCTGTCGGATATTAACTGCATCATTAACACCTTACACTGTTGGTGTTTTTTTCAGATACCGGACTGCACTGGGATGGTTATGGAGGAATCTCCAGAGAAACTGGCAGTCGACTTTCTACACTTCCTTCGCAGCATCGGCTTACGTAAGTGTACTTCTTTTCTCTCCCAGTTTTCTCTTCGCATGTCCCGTAACCACCTCAAGTTTGATAATAATGATAAAGTTAATCTTCGGAATAAGTGAAGCCTTCATCGCTACGGTTGGATCGCACAGGAATTCATCCCGAAGGTCTAATAGTGCCTCGTGTACTCCGTTGTCTCGATTCGAAAACACGAAATTCCCAACCGACGGACGCGTCCAGAACCACGTTCTTGTGCGCAGTTAGCTCGCTTATCTACTGACCGGATGGGCTACTTGTTACAATCAGCCTTGGAGATTTCGATAGGTTTGATTTGTTTACAGTCGCTTCACCAAACGACCGTAGCCCATTTATCCCCAAAGCATGCATCAGCATTCTCTCAACTATCCAGCTCACATCAATGGAGAGAAACAGGAAGGTTAGCCCGAGAGTTGGGGACCTTCCATGTGAGCCTTGATAGCATCGTACTAATACGGATAGGGGTTACCTCCTTCACTATACTAGCTGTTGAGTCGCAAATTCGGAGTCCTGTTCTTCACTTGCATTCCCTTGTACTTTAACACTTGTTGACTTGTTGAGATTTCAATTTGACCACTAAGCTAGGATTTGATTTTGTTACAGTCATCTTCAGTGCACAATAGCCAATAATGTTTTGTAGGTAACTGGGCTTCAAACAAATCTGTTACCCGATTCTTCTAACAGATTCTTCACTCTTGTCCACTGAAGATGCCATCCGCCTTGATAGTGAAACATCTGCAACGAAAATGCGCAAGTCTGAGCGCAAAGCAACACCTCAACTGCCAATCTGGGCTACTGACATTCCACGTTATTGTAAACCATTGGCTCGACTTGTAAGTCTGAGCGGACTGATCCCAATTCGTCTGCGTTATGAAGCTGTTATTCGGGCACTGGACGCTGATACCTGGAGTCCTCGTGACTGTACATAAATGTACTGACCGATGGCCACAACTCAACCACCACAACTAGTCTGCGCCAAACATCCGTGACTGAACCAACAGACAGACAGCAAGCCTGGGCCTCAGGTCCACGGGGTCAGCATCTCCGCACCTTCACAGTGTCGTCCCCTTGTAATCGATGCACCCAGTTCCCTTGTGGGATACAATTATCTGCGCATTAATTTTTGTTCGTTGGACGTTCACAGACTACCTAGTCGCATGCTACCTAGTGGACCATTGACTCCGACCTTACTTCTTTTTGCATAACGTGCAGTCTCATTGGATGCAGGAGCATCTAATTACATCCTGGTTCCGCCGACGGAGTACGCACATATTCGCGCAGTGCACTCAAGTCTTATGCTAATTAACGATCGCCCAGTCAGCGTCAATAGTATGCGTACGTCACTGAAGCAGACTGACTGCGCACGTGCATTAAATTTCGATTTTTTCTATCGCTGTTTGCCAATCTCATTTTCATCACAGCGGCTTGTCCTCACCCACACAGAGATGGTCAATTTTTGTCTGTAGTTAAGGGATTATGGATCCACCACTCCACGCAACTCGTAACTGCGTCTCATCGGGGAACTATTTTGTGCACAAAAAGCATTTCCTTCTTTTAACCACATTTATGAAGGAATATAAAAAGCGACATCTGTCCCATTGATTCCAAGTCTGTAACTACGTGCTTGATCTCATAATAAAGAGAGCACTACGTTGCTCCTTGGATGTACCGTACTTGGACACACTTCCTTTTCTCCCTGTATCACTGTGTCTCACTGCCGTGAAACCTGCTCGGTATTTGAGGTTCGTTGCCGCCTCTTCCATTTGTTGACCTTATTGAGCTTACTTGCCGGTTGCCTATTGGTTCAGGCATCCGGCTTCTAATTCGCAGATCATCGATTCGAGCCTGCTTGGATACAGGTGTCGCAATTCAACCCCAGCGGTTACCCCAAAGCCAACTTTGAATTGGTTTTCGCTGTGCCAATCGTTAATCACGGATTTTAGAGGCGTTAGCCTTTAAGCACTAGGCCCTGAGTTCCACCCCAGCTCAGGCTATCTCCGTCTGATGAGTCTAAACGGGGACGAAACCGGTTGTGGTGTGTTAGGGTTGGGAGCAGCAACGCCGAAACACCTCCACTTCGGATATGGTCTTTGTGATCGGAATGACCGAGATCTACTTTAAAGTGAACCGGTGCCTCAACAGACATTACATGTCGCAATCCAACCAACCACACGGCGGATACTCCAAATCCAACTTTGAATTGCAAACCGCTGTGCCAAGCGTTGATCACGGATCTTAGAGGCATTGTGGTCAAGGCGTCAGTCTTTAACCACTAGGCCCCGAATTCCACCCCAACTCAGTTTCTCTCCATCTTATGAGTCCAAACGCGGACGAAACCAATCACGGGGTGTCAGTGTTGAGGGAGGCAACACTGAAACACCGACCTCACGGTACCTCTAGCCCGCAATTGACGGCTGGTAGTCGCGATGCAGTGAAACGTTGCTACGACATATCGACGTTCTGTTGATGCAAATGACATGGTCTAAAGCGGCTCAGTCTAGTTAATTTTCAGACTTTCTCGACGACAGCAAGTACGACAGTAATGTAGCCACATACTCTTTTTGGCTTCACCGCCTCTGTTCTGTCCGTCCAATGTGACCCCTTATCTTCAAAGCACATTGGATCGAACAGCCCCATATTATCTCGCCTACATGATAAACCTGACAATACTGAAACGAAACGACTAGTGGATATTGAGGCGCCAGGGAATTCCGATCGACAATAAGCAGTAGTCTGTAAAAGCAAATCGGCCTTTGCGACTTCACCGATTTTTTGGTTGTGCTGCGACACACAGTCCTACATCTAGTCCAGTGACTATCATGGTCATCATTTTGCACCTTGGTGGTGAGAAACATCCCCTGCTAAATTGCATAGTAAGGAAAAATTACGAACGAAAATATGATTTGCTTTTTACTATTTGTTCGTTATTAACTCGGGGTTGGGGAGAAGCTGTGCGAGGTTGTGGGCATATCTCAACAACTGTCTCCGATCATACGTGTTCATTGTCCAGAACCTCTACGCGGAAGTCAGAAGGCACCCACCGAGGCCAATTTCTAAGTGAGAGCCTTCATTCCGTTTCTACCAAATCATCGGTTAGCTTTCTCTCTTCTTACACTCACACTCTGGTCGCTCAGACAACGCACGTAGCGGGTGTCCATGTACTGACATGCGTAGCACATGAACTAGTCATCGGCGCATGGTGCCACCTTCATTACTAACCTTCCTTCTATAATTCCCAGCTTAATTGACAACAACAGAAGTGCCACTGGAGTAGAACCATCTGTAGCCACCATTCCACAACACCTATCGGACGCCTATCGGTAAAAAACCTTTATAAGGCCACGCTATCCCGTTTCCATGGCGACATTCAACATTCGCACTCTAAAACAAACTGGTCAGCAGGCTGCACTCGCACGCACCTTGGACACACTGGTTATCGATGTGTGTTGTGTGTCCGAAACTATGATCAATGACCCTAACGGGGTTGTTGAATTAACTGAATCCGGCTTATCCTCTCGTTATTGCTTGCACGCATCCGGAGACGCCGATGCACCACTCACGGGTCAAGCTGGTGTATCATTCTAAGCTTCAAGGCTGAGCCATCGTTGGTTGATTGGATTCCGGTGAACAGCCGTTTATGTGCAGCCCGTTTGACGACATCAGCTAAGGTTGATTCACGAAGTAGTACAAAACGCTCTTTGTTTGTGGTTTCCGCTTCCACCGACTGCAGTTCTAATGCTGTCAAGGACACATTCTATCACGAACTGAACGCGCTACAACGCAGTGCTACTAGTTCAGATATTATAGTACTTGCAGGAGATATGAACGCACAAGTCGGGCGTCTGAACTCTTCAGAAACTCAGCTGGGTGGTAATTATGGGCCTAACCCCGAACGGACTGGCAACGGTGAGCGTCTGCTGCAACTGTGTGCGGAGCAACAGTTGTTTCTTACTAGCACTGCTTTTAGACACAGTGGGCGCCGAACTGCCACTTGGCGTCCTCCTGTAGCTGGCCAACGATGGACCCAAATTGACCACATAGCCATAAGTTACAGGTAGCGTGGTTCCATCCTAGATTGCTGCTCGTACTGGAGTATCTGTGCCGACTCTGATCATGCCTTAGTACGCTGTCATTTGTACATGAACTTTACCGGGAGGCGCACCAAGCGTCTCCTCCGATTGACAACTGAGCAATTGTCTCAGCCCTCGGTCAGACAAGTGTATCAAGACGCACTGCGTACCGAACTTTCGCTGTCTTGTCCTAATGACGCTGAGCTTCATTGGAATAGGATCTCGGCCGCCATGCACTACGTAGGAGCATCTGCTTGTGGCGCTATCCATCGTCGCCGCACCAGTCACTGGATATCCGAGAGGTCGGTGAACTTGTTGGAATCTAGAAGAAACCTCCCGGCTGGCTCTGAGCACAGTGGGACCAGAGGGGCTATTGGGCGTGAACTAAAGCAGAGCCTACGTGCTGACAAGGAAGCCTGGTGGACTAGCAGGGCTCAAGAAATGGAGGAGGCAGGAGCAGTAGGCAATTACCGCAAGCTCTTCCACCTAATCCGCACCACTGGTCCCAGAAAACCAGGCGTCAGTGAGACAATCAGAGACAGCGCGGGTGCACTGATACACAATACGGAGCGCCGTATGGCTCGTTGGGCGGAACATTTTCACGATCAGTTTAGCTGGCCGTCTGCTCCCGGAACTCTTCCTACTCAGGCGATGCAAGGCGAGCCATGGACGGTTAGTTTAGAGCCTTCGTCGGAGGCCGAGGTCCGAAACGCGATCACAGCCTTCAATCGTTTTCGTGCCACTGGCCCGGATTCTCTCCCACCTGCATTATTTAAGGATGGAGGTGAGGTCCTCTGCAGGGCACTAACCTCCCTATTCGAACGTATCTGGAACGAAGGGAGTGTGCCGGCTAATTGGAGCGAATCAATTATAATGGCAATATACAAGAAGGGCAGTCGCACAGACTGTTCTAACCAC